GGATAGTTGAAATACTTTTTTGACGATTTCTACATTTTTGAGAAAAATTATTTTTGAAAAAAATGCTATTAAAATAAGTCTATTAAATTTCATTATAATAAATGGATATAAAAATAAAGAAAAGTTTCATTATAACAAGGTTATTTTTACTGTTTTTTTTTTTTTGGAGAGAGAAAATTAGTTCCTAATTTGGAACATATGAAATAAATATTAGTAGGTAGATTTTTAAGACAAAATGACATTTAAATTAGACAAAGTTCTTTAACTTGATAAATAATAAAAAAGGGCACAAAAGATTCAATCAATTAAACGAATAGATTTTTTGGTTCAAGAAACATATTCATCCTCTTTTTTACAGCAAAAAATTAAAAATCTAATTTATTTATATCGAACAAAACTAAATATTCTCTAATGCTATTTTCAGGAAATAATATATATATATATATATATATATATATATATATAAATATTATTATATATATTAATACAATATATATAAATTGATAAATCGTATTATAAGTCTTTGATGCATAAAACTGTCACATTTTAGAGTTTATTTTGTTTCAATATTTTTGTTCAAAACATTTGTCCAGAAAAAAACCTTTTTGTCAGTCACAAAAAATGTGTTTTTCCAGGAATTTTGTCAAAATAATTTTCTTGGATGCATTAAGTATTTTTTAGAACTAAATTATCGAATAAAGTTTATCCATGTGATTTTTTTTATATTATCGTGGCGATTAATAATTGAATTTTAAAAATTAATATTAATTTTATAATACCTAATATTCTACTCTTAATTTGTTCATTTTACATCTATTTATGTTTTTTATGACATGTACATGCATTTATTTGCACTTATATGGAATATGTGCAAAAATGCAGTAAAGTGCAGTAAGATGCAGAAAGATGGATGAGATTTTTGTGAATTTTAATAAAATCTCAAGGAAAATGACGGTTTTGAATATTAAATTTAAATATTTAAATATGTATATATATATATATATATATATATATATATATATATTGAGAATGGAAATAATAATATGAATAGAAACTTTAACAAAAGTCGTGGATTGTCTCAAAATGTGGTAAATTGTCAGAAGATGTTGTAAATTTATTAAAAAAAATTCTATTACCAATTTTTTTTAACTAAATACAAGATTTGTCATCAGTCTAAATAAAATATTTTGCAATAAATTTCTTAGTGCATTTTGAAATAAATAAGTATTTTTTGTAAAATCTAAATAGGAATTTAAAAAAAATTAAACTGCTTATTTACTTTAAAATTTATATGTGACTAATATAAAAATAATTTAAAACTCTTCATTTTATAGAACCAATTTGTTTAGTATATCATATTTAACTTTTTTAATATTTTTATAAGAACCATTTATAAGAACATGAATAAAAGTCGTGGATTGTCTCAAAATATTGTAAAATGTCTGAAATTGTCGTAAGTTGTCTGAATTGTCTGGAATTGTTGTAATTTTTTTAAAAAATGTACTAAAATGTCACCAAAAACTTCTTGAATTTAGTTAGAAATGTATTAGAGATGATAAAATGATGACATAATGATCAATAACAAAAAAATTTATACAAGAACTTATAAAAACGTTCCATAGTTCTATAAATTTCAACATAGATCTTCTGACCCAAGATTTAAAATTTAACAAGTTTAAAGTTAAAATATTAGTTAAATATTATATATATTATTTAAATATCATATTTTATTAATAATTTTCTTCATTTTTCTTATTTTTTTAGCAAAATCACGGTTTAGAATCACTTATGTACCAACTCAGATCCGGCAAAGAAGAATTAGCCAACAAAAATTTCGAACAACATGGTAAGTTTTTGCAAACTTATAATAATAAAATATTAAAAAAAAAGAGGAATAAACAATTTGTACATTTGTATATATAAAATAATGACTGATGCAATATTTAAAAATAACAGCTTGATATTTAAGTTTTTAAAAATACTTCAAATAAAAATATGGATATCAAATTCTTTGGTTCAATTTTTGCTCGTTTTGCTATTTTCTTTATAAAATTATTTGTTGTATGACATTGTACTAAACAAAGTACTGCAAAAATTTTTTTTAAACTAGTTTTAGGAAAATTTGTATTAAATTTATTGTAAAATAAAATATCAAGCTGTTTCAAACATGCAGAAGAAAAAAAAATGCTTAAAAAACTTACATTTTCAGCTGTTGTATATAATATGCCTCCAGGTTTTGTTCATCATCTGTAAATAAACATAAAATTAATTATGTAGAATATTAAATTAAGCAAAAAATAAATATAAAATAAAATACAATTTTTACCATTTGCAAGGATAAATAAATGAAAAATTTTTATCGACTAAAATTTTTACCAAAGGAACAAGTAACTGTAAAAATTTTTATTAAACATATTGGTCATTACTTATTTAATAATAGTAATTTTAATTTTTTTAAATATATTAGTATTTATTATAGCTTATTTTAGAGAACCACGGTTAGATTTTAAAATTCCGCTAATTATTTCAGAAATAAAATAAAATTCGTTTTAAAAATATTAATAAGCATAATCGCATAAATTATTTATAAAAAATATACATAAATTTTGTGAATTAAGAGAAGTATTAACTCATAATTTAAAATTCGACATTAAATTGCTTACGATAATATATTTATAAGAATGACAATTTTTTTTAAATAATATATATATATATATATATATATATATATATATCCATAATAATTCTATATTTAGAATATATTAAAATTTTTATTAAATTTCTATGAGAATTTTCAATCGTAAGTGTAACATTTTTTTAGTGAATAAAAAGCAATAAATATTAAAAAATAGTAATTCTGTACGTTTCGACACAAAATACGTGTCATCACTAAGCAGTTCATAGAAAAAAATCAATGACTCAATAAATGGTTAAAACATTTTTTATATAAGTTTAATTAATTGACAATGAATATAAAATAAATAACAATTAGGAACAAAAGTTATAAAATTAATATATTTTTCATAGAATTTTACCATATACAACATATATAAATATGATTTAATAATCAGAATTAAAAACATTAAATATCTAAAAAAGTATTTTAAAATCCTTACGTTTCGGCTATAGTCATAGCCTTCCTGAAAAATATTGTGAATCCTTATTTTTTAATTTAGATTAAATAAATTTTAATTTAATTAAAAGAAAAGCTATTTTTATTTTTTTACTATTTTTGCATTAGGTGAAGGCTAGGATTATAATTAAAACGTATGTAAAGTAAAATATTTTATTAAAAAAAATGTTTTTATTCATGTCACGCCCAAATTTATCAGTAAATAATTAATAATATAAATTTCCAATATAATTTATTCATATGTATATATTTACTATCATTTTATTTTTAAGACATCGTGTGAATTAAAAATGTGTTTTAAATATATAAAGTGCTGTATATATATTTCATCCCTATAACAGTGTTTGTCAAAGTTTTAAGTGTGTCGGTCCAGATTCATATGCCTTGTATATAGAAAAAGCTGTGCGAAAATAATGTAAGTATTCATAGATAATTGTATATAATCAATATATTTTTCTAGTCATTAAAATTTTATATAAAACATATTTACTTTCATTTTTGTATGTTGAGTTTTTTATTTGTATATTTTGTGTATTTGTATATTTTTTTATTTTGTCCAATTTATATTATTTTTTCATGTACATATTTTTTCTTGATGTATATATTTTTTATATTATCTAATTCATCTATATAAATATAAGTATTAATTTTCTAAAATTTATAATTTTTGTCCAAATATTCTATTCGCTAATTTTATTTTCAAACCATTTTGAATCGTTTGACACAGAAATTGAACAAGTTTAGTTGTAAAACTCTTGAAAAACCCGATGAAAAATTAAAAAAAAGTGATAAAAAAAACGTGAATTTATTTTGGAGATTCAAAAAACCGGATAAAAATCAGTTGGGAATCATGGTAATGGATTTTTGGTCAAGATCAGTCGTAAATATACTTTCTAAAAATACTTTATTCGTTTACAAAAGTTTAGAAATTTAAAATATATTAATAAATTGTATTTATCAACTATTTATTCATCCAATTGTTTTTAGAAAATCTTAATCATATATAAAAAAAAATTGAAGTTTTTAAAGGTGAATTTTTATTATTATCAGCCAAAACCGTTTCATCATCATTTATTGGTAAAAAAAATGGTGCAATTTTAAAAATTAAATAAATTTCGAGTCTGATTACATCCATTCGGCTGCCCTTAGGACATACACGGTGTATGTCCTAAGATCCTTGCTCATCGTTTTACACTTTAATGAATTTTTATAAATACACGAGTTTTTGTAGGCCTATAATATTTTAGAATGTTCATTAGAAACATCAACTCTACCAATATACAAAGTTTCATTAAAACCAACAAAAAACTCTATAATTCCAAAAAAAACACCCAAATTCGATTTTTCGTATAGTTGTTGAATTTTCTAAAATCGGTTCAGCTGGTGTTTGCGTTGGTTGATATTTGTTGAAATTGGCCTAAACGTTTTTTCATAACTTCAAAAAAAAAATTGCACTATTTTAAAAATTCTAAAAATTTTGAGTCTGTATGAATTACTGTGCTCCTGATACTTTCACGTTGTAAGTCCTCAATGCATTTAAAACTGCAAAATCAAAACGATTTTTCATAGGCCTATAATATTTTAGAATGTTCTTTTACATCATAAACTCTTATCATACATAGTTTCTAACAAAACGTCAAAAAACTGTAAATATGAAGAAACGGCCTGACCAATCAACACAAAAAATTGTTGAGCACGATTTGCAACCAATAATATTTTTTGGACAATTTTCGAATTTTTAAAAAATTATTGAGACCGGTTCAGCCGTAAAGAAATAGACAAAAAATCACATTGTGATTCACAAACATTTTTAACTTCCCGTAGGGTAAGTTATTGTAATGGGCCGAAAATCGGAATTGAAAATTTTTACATTTCTCGACGTTTTGAAGGTTTCTGAACGTTTTGGCATACCTCAGAAAAAATGGATGTGTGTGTGTGTGTGTGTGTGTGTGTATGTGTGTGTGTGTGTGTGTGTATGTATGTATGGATACAAATTTCCAGTCACGTTTTAGGGCGCACGGATCAACCGATTTGAATGGTTCAAAACATTCGATTCCTATTGATAGGGAAAAGAGCTGATTAGTTTTTGGCAAAGGCAGGTCCAGCCGTTTCGGAGATACGGAGCAAAGAGTGCAGAAAATAGAAATCGAATTTTTGAGCGAACGGAGTATCCGATTTGAATGATCTAAAAAACATTCAATTAGTAATGATTGGGAGAAGTGTTTATTGATTTTTGGCAAAGGCAGGCCCAGCCATTTCGAAGATACGAAGCTAAATATGTAAAAAATAGCAGTTTTTGAGAGAACTAAGCGTCCGATTTAAATGATTCAAAAAACTTTCTGCTTGTTTTAACAAATTAATTGATTTTGGAAAAAAAAATTTTATTCCAATTTTTTTTTTTTTTTTTTTTTTAGTATTTTGTATATCGAAAATATTTCAGATTTTTAATTCTGACTATAGTTCTAATATACTTTACAAATAATTTCAACTCTGCAATTCGGTTTATATAATTCTTATAAATATTACACAATGTTACAATATTTATAATTATCTATTTGAAAACATTCAGTATTCCTCGAACATTTCGTTACGGTGCGGGAAGTTCCAGCAATTTGCCTTAAGGCACAATGCCATAATTGCCTCAAGACAGAATTCCACTTACAGCTAGTTATTTTTACTATTTGCGTGTCAAACGATTCAGAATGACTTGAAATGTGCAGAAAACAAAAATGGCCAAAAACCGTCAGAAAGGGGCCGTTCAAGTATTACGTAAGCACTATAGGGGGGCGGGGGGGTTATTGATTTGCTTATTTTGGGTGGCATGGGGGGCAGGGGAGTCTAAATGATGATTACGTCATAGATAGTATTTTAAAAACAATACATTAAATGCAAAATGTTTACGTAAGCATTGGGGTGGGGGCAAGAGCTTTGCTTACTTTTGCCGACAAGGGGGATGGGGGGGGGGTAAATAATTGTAATAAATCTGCTTACGTAATACTTGAACGACCCCAAAGTTAATTTTGATACACATACATATTTTTCAAAATTTGATGTTAAACGATTCAGAATGACTTGAAATGTCAAGAAAACAAAAATCGTCAAAAACCTTCAGAAAGTTAATAAAAATTACAAATTTATTATATAAATTAAAAATTTGTAGTAATAAAAGATAATCCAGATAATAATAAAAATTATTACCTGGAGTCTGACTCGCACTCCAGGCTTTTGTAAATACACGCTCTTGTTATGTAATTTTTAATTTTTACACCAAATGAATTTCTAGATTTCCAACAGAAAGTGACCAGAGGTCTGGACTATTTAGGAGGCGGCAATTTATTGAGAAGTTTAAATAAAGTCCATCAGAAAAAACACGAATTTGGCGAAAGAAGTTTGGATGAACTTGGTGGTGGAAATTTGGTAAGAAGCTTGGATGAGTTGGGAGGCGGTAATTTGGTGAGGAGCTTGGATGAGTTGGGAGGCGGTAATTTGGTGAGAAGCTTGGATGAGCTAGGAGGTGCCAATTTGGTGAGGAGCTTGGATGAATTTGGAGATGGCAATTTGGAAGAAAAAAGTTTAGATTATTTAGGAGGAGGTAATTTAGTCAGAAGTCTAGATTCCCTTGGAGGCGGCAACTTGGTTAGAAGTCTAGATTCCCTTGGCAGCGCCAACTTAGTCAGAAGTCTAGATTCCCTTGGGGGCGCCAACTTAGTCAGAAGTCTAGATTCCCTTGGGGGCGCCAACTTAGTCAGAAGTCTAGATTCCCTTGGGGGCGCCAATTTAGTCAGAAGTCTAGATTCCCTTGGGGGCGCCAACTTGGTCCGAAGTCTAGATTCCCTTGGAGGCGCCAACTTAGTCAGAAGTCTAGACTCTCTTGGTGGAGGCAACTTGGTCAGAAGTCTAGATTCCCTTGGGGGCGCTAACTTAGTCAGAAGTCAAGATACCCTTGGGGGTGCCCACTTGGTCAGAAGTCTAGATTCCCTTGGGGGCGCCAACTTGGTCCGAAGTCTAGACTCTCTTGGGGGCGCCAACTTGGTCAGAAGTCTAGATTCCCTTGGTGGGGGGAACTTGGTCAGAAGTCTAGATTCCCTTGGAGGTGGCCATTTGGTCAGAAGCTTAGATTCTTTAGGAGGAGGTCATCTGGTAAGAGATTTGGATTCTCTTGGAGGTGGAAATCTGGTCAGAAGTCTAGATGCCCTCGGAGGTGCCAACTTAGTCAGAAGTCTAGACTCCCTTGGAGGTGGCAACTTGGTCCGCAGCTTAGACTCACTTGGAGGGGGAAATTTAATAAAAAGAAATGCAGATCAAGATTTAAAATTAGCCAGAGCTTTAGACTATCTCGGCGGAGGCAATTTATTAAGAAGCCTGGATTCTTTAGGAGGCGCACATCTGGTAAGATCTACTCAGGAAGAGGATTTTTCACGACGCCAGTCGTCCAATAAAACTTGGAATTATTTGTTGAACTATTTAAAAAAACTTGAAAGAAATTCGCATTAAGATTAAGATGATGGATTGCTGTGACTGACAATAATAACATTTTGTACACGCAAAAATAAAATAAGCATAGTCAAAACCACTTGTGTATTATTTATAATTATTAACAAAAATTTTATTATTAAAATATTTATTTGTTATTGTTTTTGTGACAAAATCTAAATAGGTTCAGGAAGGCACAGTGCAGTACCTTTGCGGAATTTGGACGCCTTAGGCGGAGGCCATCTGTTGAGAGAAACCAGAGGCATCGACTCTTTGTCTGGAGTCACCTACGGAACCCAAAAACGATTCGACACTTTGGGGTAAGATAAACAAACTATCTACATATATTAATTAACTAGCAAACCCAACAAACTCCGTTTCGCCACCAGTTGGTTTCGTGAGAAAGATGAAGAAATTTTTTGTTTGTTTTATATTTGAAAAGAAAAAATTGGATTTTATTACACAACAGTAATGAATTTATTTCGATTACAAAAATAAAGTGTTTTTTAGTTGAACTTCTCTAAGTAAATGAAAGTGAATCCGCAAATTATCCGTTTCATTGAAATGCTCTTTGGTAAACCACATTTTTTGTTTTTTGGTCTGACATTAACACAAACAAAGCGGATGGCTTTCCAACTCGTGAACAGGCAACGTATAACTGCCCATGTAAAAAATAATGATTTTCTAAATAATCTATTTGAAATTTATCCCGCAAACACGAAACACGGCGAACTGGAAATTGCAATCGTCAAACGGAAAACCAGTCGGAATCATTGGTATGTCACCAAATCGCCAGCATTTTTTGATTGAATGGTGAATTTCAGTGCGTGTACATTATTATTCTTTGCGTGTACATTATTATTCTCGTTGACTTAACCAAGCATAATTCTGATAATTCTCGCTAATGTCATTACTTGAATTTTCAATTACGGTGTGTGAAGTTCCAGCAATTTGCATTAAGGCACGATGCCATGCACCACTAATTTTCTTAGCTATAATTCGACTTATTTCTCTATATATGTAGATATATGCAGAAAGTATCTATTATTACATTCAATTATCTTTTACCCAGGGGTAGTACCTACGGTGGCCACAAGCGTTCGCCCCTATCGCCCTACCAATTGGCAACCCTCCAACAACATCAACATCAACTTCAATTGATGGACAAGAAGAATTTCGACGAGATCGACAGGAGCGGATTCGACAGTTTCGTCAAAAAGAATTTCGATGAAATCGACAGGGGCGGATTCGACGGATTCGTCAAACGAATGGGAGGATACTTTTACGATTCGAATCCACCTAGTCCACGTTATTATTACGATTTGGAATAAATGATAATTGACACATTTTGTATATAATAAGGATATAGATATATATAATGCTACTAGGGTTTGGAAAAGATTGAGATGCACTGGGAATTTGATTTGTAGTTGAGGAATAAAGTGATGTACTTTGAAAGTTTGAAGGTTGTTGTTAATTCTTGGGCTTGTAGATGGTTATTGGTGCACGTTACGTGAAAATTGTCATTTATAAAAATTTTAATAAATATTATCTAGTTTCTAATTGTTTAAACAAATTACTGAAAAATATTGTCAAAATATAGTAATGGTTGATAAACCAAAAACTCGTATACAGCTTGACTTGCAATTTGAAACGTTGTAGTCAATTCTAGGACGTGTAGTTTTTTACCAAAGCAAATTACACAAAAATAGTCATTAATAAAAGTTTTAGTAAATTTTATTTAGTATCCACTGGTTTGAAAAAATTGCTAAATTTTTTTGTCAAAATAAAGTTATGGTTAATAAACCAAAAACTCACATACAGCTTGACTTGCAATTTGAAACCTTGTTGACAATTCTTGGACGTGTAGTTTTTCACCAGTGCAAAAAAACGACAAAATAGAAACTAGAAACGAAAAATTAGTAAATTTTATCTAGTTTCCATCTGTTTAAACAAATTGCTAAAAAATATTGTCTAAATAAAGTTATGGTTAATAGACCAAAAAATTGTATACAGCTTGACTTGCAATTTGAAACTTTGTGATCAATTCTTGAACATGTAGTTTCTTACCAGTGCAAAAAACGAAAAAAAAGTAAAACAATAGTTTTTGTAAATTTTGTGTAGTTTCTATTTATTTAAACAAATTGCTAAAAAATATTTTGAGAAAAAAGTTGCAATACTACACTTTACTACACTTACGTTTGCTACACTTAACGTTTTATAATTATTTGTCTAGCTAAATATTGATGCAATTTGCATATAAAATAATCATTGAGAACTTTTTTGCAAATTTATATGTTTTTTTAAATTTCTGACCAAAACTAAGTTTCTGCTAATTAAATCCAATAGCCAAAAAAATATTAAGAGAAACATTATAAAAAAAATCGATAAATTTTTTTAAAGTTACAATTTGCTCATTAATTTTCTAAAAAAAAAAGATTTTTGAAAACTAAATTGCATTTGTAATAATTTTTATTTAGTGTTTATTTATTCAAAGTACACTTTTACCCAAGCCAAAAAACACTATTGTAATTGAAGAGAAAAATTGAATAAAAATATGTTTTTCAAACAAATTTATTTAAAAATGTAGAAAAACATTTGAAATAATAGTTAAAACAAATCAACAATCTAGTAGTATTATATATATATAAATATGTTAAATAATTATTTTATTAAAAATTAAATAATTATTTATAAATTCTGGACATCACTGTTCTATTTCGTGAAAATAAATTCCATTAACTATAAAAATTAACAAATAATGTTTAAATTATTTTTATAATTGAACAAATGCAATTTTCCTAAACTAAATTATTTAGATTTTTAGAAAAAGTAAGAAACTTGAAACGTAAAAATTAAAAATTATACTTAATTATGAAACTATGTTTATTTAATAATAAATGTATATTTCCAAATAAATATATCAAGAACTGAAACATATTTATTTTGATAAATAAATATATCATACATAAAATTCTTCTGTAATGATGTATGTAAATACACTTCTCCTAAACGATTATTCGGATTTTGGTAAATCTTTCTGAAGTGTGTTAAGTGAATTCTCTAGGAAGTATGTGAATAAAAAAATATAGTAATATTGTAGAAATAAATAAAAAAAATTGCAAAAAAACAACATGTCACTGAAAACGTTTGAAACACTTTTTTGGCATTGAAAACAAATGAAAACTATCATCTACCAAAAATTTCAATTCACTTATGATCCTAGCCATGCAAGCTGCCTAAAGGCAAAATACCCCTTACACTTATAAACGACTCGAATAGTCATACTAATTCCTTATTTTCTAATACAAAGAAACAATTTATATATTAAAAAAAGAGTGCGCCTAAGGTTCACACGCGATTGAAGTAAAACTTATTTGCTATTGTACGAGTTGGCATTTAAATAAAAATAAATACATCATATAACAATTTTGAATAATGTTTATTAGTAATATGGCAACATTCGTGATGCACACATTTATTAGTGTCAACAATTATACACATTTATGTAATGATAAATTATAAAATATATATCTATAATAGCATTAAAAGTATTCATAATATTTAAAAACAATAATGTAATTAGAGTCATACTTCAAATATGACTTGATCGGTTTGTCATTGTAATTAGCATTTAGAGATAAACCTTCATTAGAAAAATAAAGCAATTGCTGATTAATAAATTCAAGTTAAACAACGCCTAAACAAATATTGTTTTTGCAACTTCACTCATTATGTAATTGTGTTTGAAGAACTTTATGTAATTAAAATTAACATGCATTGATTGACTGATGGTATTTTTTTTAACTTCCCATAGGGTAATTATAGTAATGGGCCGAAAATCGAAAATAATTTTTTTTGCATTTCTCGACGTTTTGAAGGTTTCTGAACATTTTGGCATACCTCCAAAAAAATGGATGTGTGTGTATATATATACAAATTTCCAATCACGTTTTCGGGCGCACGGATCAACCGATTTGAATGGTTTAAAAAACATTCGATTCCTATTAATAGGGAGGTGTGCTGATTAGTTTTTGGCAAAGGCAGGTCCAGCCGTTACGGAAATAAAGAGCAAATAGTGCAGAAAATAGAAATCGAATTTTTGAGAGAACGGAGCATCCGATTTGAATGATCTAAAAACATTCAATTAGTAATGATTGGGAGAAGTGGTTATTAATTTTTGGCTAAGGCAGGCCCAGCCATTTCGAAGATACAGGGCTTAAGGTGCAAAAATGACAGATTTTGAGAGAACTAAGCGTCCGATTTAAATAATTTAAAGAACTTTCTGCTTGTTTTAACCAAATAATTGATTTAATTTTTTTTTGTATATCGAAAATAATTCATATTTTATTTTTAATTCAGACTAAAGTTCTACTATACTTTAAACAAATGATTTTAACGTAGCAATACAGTTTATATAATTCTTATAAATATTAGACAATGTTACAATATTTATAATAATCTATTTGAAAACATTTAATATTCCTCGAACATTTCGTTACGGTACGAGAAGTTCCAGCAATTTGCCTTAAGCCACGATTATTAATACAAACAAACAATTTACATATTTAAAAAAAGTAAGATTATATAGTAAATATTCATTACCTGAATGCAAAAACACGATTCACGAATTTCCTTAAAAAGGCGCCAAACCACAAAACAATGTCAAAATAATTCACATCACTACACAACTACAATTACTAAATCAAGCACTATACTTTAATTATATTTATAATAATTTTCACAAAATTAAAATTAACTCACTTTTACCACTACAATACTAAATTATTACTAAAGCGTTAATTCACAAGCGTAAAACTGGCGCGGTTTCTTCGACCCGGTTGCGATGGCGCCCTGGTCGACACCGTTGTTTTCACTACAAAACGTACGAACGAAATGAATGAGAACGTTAAAAAATTGTCATAAGGTCAACTACTGTAGACCATAGATAATCCTGCTTGTCGAGATACGAACTTCGGTTTTTTATAAACAAACTATTTGAAATTGTGTCAAAGTATTGATGTAGCAGATATTATTGCCCTCTTTTGGGATAAATGATTTTAATTTTTGAACAATGACACGTCAATGTTAAACTAAATATAACCAAAATCTGTTCACATACACACACACACACACACTTTTTCCAAATTTGGTCTCATTCGATTCAGAATAGCTTGAAACGTCGAGAAAACATAAACTTTACCATTGTACTTTTTAAATGTAATAGATTGAAATAGCTTTCTTGACTTTATATGAAAATATTGAAAAATATTTTCTCTCATAAAAATATATTTATAAAAATATTTTTTGTTTTTTAATATAAGATGTACATTTGTTTTATTTCGTTGACACGGATTACTGAATAAAAACAAGTATTGAAATTTTAATAAAATTTATCTTTATTATTAGTGTAAATCTTATTATATGGAAAAAATAATTTAACTAGTGATGCATGGCATCGTGCCTTAAGGCAAATTACTGGAACTTCCCGTACCAAAAATTAATGTTTTAAAAAAAAAGATTCGCGAATCGGATTTTTTTGATGAAGACATAAACTTCACCTTCGGGAAGTTAATAATATTAGGTAAAATATTAGGTAACTATCATAAATTTATTATTAGGTATAATATTAGATAAATATCATAAATTTATTATTAACTACTTGTACCTGTAACTTCGATCGCATGGATTTTTTAATAAAAGTTAAAGGTTTATGCATTTCCACGTTTTTTTATTTTTTTTATATGTATATTTATTTAATCATTCAGAAATAATGTACGGGTAATAATAAATTAACAGTTGCTTCATCATGATACTAATATTTTGAGAATTTTAAAATTGAACAGATACAAATCTCCAAGAACTTTTTACAAAAATAATCTTACATCATAACAGATTTTTAACATTTATTCATTCTCTTTAAAAACATCAATAGCTCCTAACTACATATTAGCTATTGAAATTTAACATGACTAATTCATAAAAAATAATTAGATGACTATAAAAATGGTTGCAAAAAAATAATCACATTACTAATAGATTTGACTATTCACTGTATTTTAAATGATTTGATATGAAGTTCAAATCTTGTAATTAAAAACCGTGGACTTTAAGTTCATCTGGTTTTGCAAGTCCTGCTTTTTGCCATTTATTTTCAGATTTTTATATTAACTTTATTAAAAAAAAATCTTATGCAAGACCTTTGCTCTTTCTCATGCTCGACTTTCCTTTAATCAAAACTAATAAGTAAACACTTTTAGCGTTTTTTATTCTCTTAAAGAGATTTAACGCTTCTTTAATTAATGCTAATTAGTGTACATTTAAAAAATGC